ATTTGAATTTAATTCTAGTACTGAGACAGGCGCCTTCAACAACTGTGTTCATTCTACCTATTACATGTTGGAATATCACAAGTCAATTAGAACCTTAAAATTAGAATGTAGTAAGTTTCATTAATGGACATGTTAACATACTCAGTTGATACGATTCTATTACAAAACAAACTTGATTTTTTAGGTACCTATATATACCTTATTGAGGAACTTTATGTATTTAAAAATACAGAAAACAGCTTACAGATTTTAGATTGTAAAGTTGCTTTTTTTTTTAAAAAAAGCAGTATTTTTGTGTATTATTGTTCAAAAATCAATACCAGTACAGTAAAAACAACAGTGAAGAGGGGATCCTGATTAATGATGGTTTCATTTAGTCCTGCAGAAATTATGACTTTTGGAGAGTGCTGCATTTCTCAAAGTATGCTCCCAGCAACACAAATTTTGTGTAAATAATGGTTAGGGAAAAGAGAAGTTGGTGGTTGAAATTTAAGAATACCTAAATGCTTAACACAAATGAAGTTAGGCAGATTTCAGGACCTTTCAGAGCTGCACTGTGCCTTTCTAGGCAGGGGAAGATTGTTTGTATTGTTTCCCAAACTTTACTGCTGCTGACATTTTGGAAAATGCTGATGTAGGGGAAAAGCAATGAGGTCTTAATTTACTTCTTACTTGCCAGGTGGACTTCAGTGTAACCTCCTGAAACCTCTGTTTCCTTTTAAAAATCGGAGTAATTATCCTTGGCTCTTTCTTGTGGATTATGATTAGGATTAGAACAAAGAATATATATAAGAATGTTTTGATTCCATAAAGTATTATTTGGCACTTATTATATGTTACTATTGAAATGAAAATGAAGACCTCTTAATCAAGAATGATTTGTGGCTACCATGTTAAAAATGGGATAATGTCACACAATACTATATTAGAGATAATCTAATTCTTGATGATTTTAAAAGTGAGATTGCTTATTTTATGTCTTTTTTCTGGCGGCCAGTTCTAATTCTAAAAGCAATTATAGGTGAAATCTTACTCAATAGCTATATTTAAAAGAATTAAATCCATCCCAAACTTTTGGGTGAATGATGTATTTTTCCTTATTTTTTATTATTAAAATCACTGGTATTACATTCACTTCTGGCCTTAAGGGAGTAAGTACAGTCTGAAATTCTCCTCTTGCTAGAAACAAATAGAAAACTAAATAAAACATAGGAAAACTGGACAACTTATTTCAGACACTGAGCCACGATCTGTGCATGACTGTGATCCCTAGGAAAAAAGGAACAAATCACGTGAGCCATACCTGATGTAGGAGCAAGGAGTCTTACTTCTAGGCTTTTTACCAGAAAATAACTATCACCCTGCGGTGCAAGGACGAGAAGCCATGAGTCCAGCAATTCTGCTGGGCTGAAGAGAGACTGAAGTGTGGGGAGGCAGAAGCAGCTAGAATTTGTGGGTCAGAATACTGGTGAAGGAGCTACACAAAGGCAGGCCTCCAGAAATCTGAACATGACCACCTTGAATCTTTGGCTGAATACAAATTTGCATGCTTAAGGTGCAATCTCACGAGACCAAACAAGACCAGCCTCTGAGAAAAGAAAAACTATTGGGGAATTTTAAAAAAGCAATTCACAGAACTTACACAGAGCTGGAAATTGTTTCCCTCCTTGTAGCCAGAATGGAGAGATCTCATGAAATCTCAT